GGAGTAACAACCTCAGCAAGACATTCAAATAAAACAGTATTATATGAAGTTGGATTCAATAATGTGATAAATGCATCCATACCGCAGGAGGAAGTTGGAGACCTGTCCCATTGTTCTTTGGCTGCTTTCTCGTCATATGGAAACAAATCAGTGGCGGTACGCTTTTTATATTGAAGCCACAATTCTACACCAACTGGAATGTTGGATTTAAGGATGAGTAAGAAGCGACTTTCCTGAAAGTCATTTGGTGCGGTATATACGGTAACCAGCCGTTCAACAAACCTACGTAGGTCGACAGACATAATTTGGTGTTGTTTTTTAGAAGGTGTAATAAGTATATATTGACGGCAAATTTGATTCCATGCTAAATATAGTTATGAATGTACCAATTAACATTTAGATTGGCAATATACAGTATATATATATCTGACCTGCAAGAACTTTGATTGGCCGGAATTAAAGAAAATAGCTACACAGTATTATTTGATCATCCATGCTATCGTAGTTTTATATTAGTTTACAATACAGCAATAGAAATTTTATCTAAATAAGACGCAGTTAAATTTTTATAATTAAAATATATAAACGTTGGAGATCAAGTGAGATCATTAGAAACCATTTTGACAATATTAATACATAGTATATACAATATTATAAATATGAGTTTTTAAAACGAAGTAACTAATAAAAGTCAAATTTCTTTCGTTTCAAATTTCACGTGAGCAAGATAAGATGATTAAAAAAATTAATCGTTTCTTTAATTTTGGCCAATTAGAATTTGTGTAGATCATCCAATAAAAACAAACTTCTATTATGCTAATTTAATTGTCAGCAACATAATTCTTTAATGGTAAATTAATTTTATTTTCTTTAATACCAAAATGCTGTTCATATTTTTTTAAACTGTCCAACTGTAAATAACAAAGTCGCGCCAAGAGATAATAGGCCCTCAAGGTCGAGCTTTTTCACTTTTTTTTTTAAGTTCTCGATCAAATTATTTTGCAAATAATCGAATTTTTCGGACTACAGGATTGCGACAGGATGGTCGTCGTGCCAATGAATTAAGAAAAATTAAGTGTAAGCCTTCTGTGTTGAGCCAAGCTGATGGATCAGCTTATATCGAACAAGGAAATACAAAATGCTTGGCAGCTGTTTATGGACCAAGAGAGGTATTTTTGGAGCTAATTACTCGAGAAAAAAGTATTAATACACTAATATGTCGACTTTCGTTAGACTAGACAAAAGGCTCAAATCATACATAATAAAGCTAATATTAATGTGGAAATTGGCTTGGCTCCTTTTAGCATGCCTCAAGAACGAAGAAAGAGATCGAAATCTGACAGGTATTCTTTATATATATATACATGTATACATATATACATAAATCGACATTCATATATTTCCAATATAGGCGACTATTAGAAATTGCATCTGCAGTCAAACAAACCTTTGAACCAGTTATAATGACTAGTTTGTTTGCCAGATCCCAGATTGATATCTATTTACAAATCTTGCAATTTGATGGAGGTATGCATTTTGTTAAATTTCTTGTTTTAAAATAATGAATTATTTAAACAATTGCAATATTTTATTTGTTTCGTTAGGTACTATTCAAATCTGTATTAATGCCGCTACATTAGCTTTGATCGACGCCGGTATACCGATGCAGGAATATGTTTGCGCTTGTTCAGCGGGGTGACATGAAAATCATATATTGTTGGGTAGGTCGAAGTTTGTCACATACATATATATTATTTGGTATATTGAGTGTCGCCAGGCGAAACCAGGAAGTCTAAATATGGAACAATATTTGATAGTAATATTTACTTAGACTTTATGGTTTTCACGTTGTGGCACTCATTTATTTAACGTAAAAGCTGTCAACGTAATTTTTTAGACCTCAACAACGCTGAAGAAATGGCTGATACTCCGGAATTAACAGTTGCATTACTACCTAAGTCTGGAAAGTTTACACTTCTTCAGGTAATTCAGGATTCTGTACAAATATGTTTGCTTTTTTTTTTTTAATCATATATCCACAACTAATCATTTAATACATCATTTGCAAAGATGGATTCGCGTCTCCATGTTGATAAATTGGAGCCAGTGATGAATTTGGCTGCGTTAGGTTGTAAGGATATTTACAAGACCCTAGATGAAACTGTTCGCGAATATGTAAAGGATCTACTTCATAAGTCTTCACCTTATTAAATATTTTGACAAATATGTAAATAAGCACTTTAACTAGCGTCAGCTTGCAATAATTTTTTGTCTCAAACAATAAGATTACAAAAATTAGATATATCAAGTGAATGGTCATCTTTTGGTATAAAAAACTATCCTGTCTGTTGTATAATAGTGATTCTTGTCGATAATTAGTTCTATAGTCAATTTACAATTTGGCAGTTGGTAGCATGGCACTTTAAATTTTCTCAAACAATTTCAACATTCAACTTTAAGAAAAGAATCGTTTCATTCACCATACATGCGTACCAGAAAATCGACTAAGGCATCACCCGGGAACAATTTTATTGGCTTAGTCTAGTTGATAAATTTTAATTGGCCAAGATCTATATGATGTAATTTTCGACAAATAGTATCCAGCGTGATGTAATTTATATATACTATATATTATATCATATAGAGTCACACGTGTATAAAAAATTGATCTATACTATTTGTCACAGGTACTATTTTCCGCAAAATTA